TAGACCTATTCGTGGAGGACAACCCCTGTAAGGTGTGCATTGTTTGCAATAAGGTCAGGGTACTCCGGGCTCTTATGTGTTTAGGAACGTCAAGTTTGTCAATCTAATGAAAACCCAAGTCTCTCACACGAGTGAAAGAAGTGATCGTAACTCCTTCAACTGTATACGGACTAGAAGAGATTTTTTGCCTTTTTGTCTTTTTTTTGAAGAAAGAAACCTTTTTTGCCAATCGTCATACACTTGGTTTCATGTGGAAGCAAGGGAAGCTGCCACTGCTCACCCCAATCGCTTAATATGTTTATCGCCTTCTGCAGATGCTCCTGGTCCTTCGCATCAGTTAAAACTTTGCCCTTCGCATCAGTTAAAACTTTGCAAATTCTTACATCGTCAGCACAGCATACCTTTTTGTTGTAAGATCTAACCCATCAAATGAACAAGGTATGTCAGCTGTGTATATATTGAAGGACTCCCTGTCACCGGTGCTGTTCGACCCAACACTCGTGGTGTTGTTTGAATCCAACACTACCATCTTATGAAGGGGTCTTTTGTGTAGCACTCGAACGCATTCGCAAAGTCCAAGTATATAACGTCACACTATCGACTATCATCATGTACTACGGTCCAGTCCTCAAGGCTTTCATTCATGTTCGTCTTTACCGACTTCCCAGGGACACAACCATGTTGTTCACGTGGTACTATTTTGTCAGCTGCAGCGTACAAGAGTATGTGTTCCTTGATCGTTTTCTCAAAAAGTCTGCAAAACAAAGTTGTTATGCTGACAGTTCGATAATTCGCACGGTCGAAGGAAGGTTCCTTCGTAGGAACCACGGTGAATGTTTGCAGCGTGCAGGAGCTTCCCTCTTCATGAGTGATGGGTTCAATGTGTTGAAAATGTTGACGAAAACTCCGACGTTCCAGGTGGTCGTTCCTCTCAGAGAATCGTTCAAACTCCTTTTCTTTTTCCAAGTTATCCACCCTAAACGACAGCAGCGTTTTGACGTTGAGTTACATAACAAGTGGTATCAGAGCTAAGGCTTATATGACGAACTGTGTCATTCTGTCGTCTTTTATAATAAGTGAACAAATGAATAAGTAAGTGAAAGTCAATAAGCGTTTTTACAGGTGTATTCTATATACGCTTCTCATCCATATTCAAACTACAATAATGATCCGTGAACTGAGAAGAAACTGAATCAAGGTATGGATGTTGGTCGTGGCCCTTGATCTCCTGCCCTTGCGAAAAGTACAGGATCTTTAAGTAGTATCCCACGTACGCCCTTGTAGACAATTGAGAACCATAATGCAATGATTTGAGTTTGAGGAAATAATTTGGATAACGGTGCGATTCATCTCTCCGAACGAGAATCAATCAATCTCTGAAGGATGGAAGGCTTGCCGCTTGGTCTGGGGAGTTAGTATCCCAATGGGAATAGCGAACCACTGCCTACATCAACAGAGACAAGCTTCCAGAATTAGCACTAAAATTGTGCTTCTATTCTACAGAATGTATTGCCAATAACATCCCTACTTCATTGAATTGGCGTACATCCGACCTGCTTCAAAGTAGGGTTTTGATGAACTGTATTCATATCACCTCATTACCTTCAATTCACACCAGTGGCTTCAGGCAGGGTGGCAGGACTACCAGAAAGAACTGCTGCTACTTGTCCCGTTTTCCCAGGCCATGGTTTTCGATGCGCTCTTACAACTCCTACAATTCTTAAAACCGCGGTAGAGCATACCACTCCCTGGTAAAGCTCCGCCTTCGCCAACATCGACTACCTCGCCCTCAGATCTGTTCAGTAGACCGCTATGTTGTGGACGGGTCTCATCTGTCTTTTTACCTTGTGCCAAGCACAAGAGATCAAAAACTTGTCAGGAGTTAGGTTCAAACTCAATTTCAAACACTACTCCGGGTTTTTCCAAGTCTCCCACACTCATGTACTTCACTACTGGTAAGCTATCTTCGAAATGGTGAAAGTCCCCCGAAATTACACTATGATCTAAACTACAAATCATAATTCCAACGATTTTAGGTTCGTTGAGTCTCAGAATGATCCCGCATGGAACCCACTAATCTTCTGGTTCAATGGTGGTCCAGGATGTTCCTCGTTGGGCGGCCTTCTCAAGGAGATGGGACCGTACTTGGTAAAATCTGACGGTAGAAGCCTCAGGGAGAACCCATATTCTTGGAATAAAGTAGGTACTTTGATAACCTGAGAAAATTCTTAGTTATTTTCTATAAAAGAAATACGGTTTCCAGATGGCCTCAGTGGTGTATATCGAGTCCCCTGCAGGAGTCGGATACTCTTATTCCACCGATGGGAACATCACCACCAACGATGATCAGACTTCACTTGAAAATTACGAAGCTGTCAAACAATTCTTTCAGGTAGTCTTAAAATAAGGGTTCAATTTTTTTGAAAGCGAATCCAATTCAAAATCACAGACTTTTCCTCTATTCCGACATCACGCTAC